TCCCTATTTCCAAAACAACGCCTTAGTAGAAATCATTTTAAACAATGAAATACAAAGCATGAATTTAATATAAGCTGTGTAACTGCTTACATATGTCTTAGTTGCAGTATAATTAAGGTCTCCCATGAAAGTTTTATATGGCAAAGAGTAAAAATATGCATTTTAACTACACTAAGCAGAAGAATTGACTTTTTTCTTTCATGCAAGTAAATTAAGTACAAATAAAAATTGCTGAAGAGCACCAGGGCTTTAACAGCCTACACAGGGTTAGCACAATGTTTTTTGAACCTTGTTGCATGGCTTGTGATTCCATCACTCTGGAACCAAAATATCCTTTTGTTTCTACAGCTAACAGAGATAACTGAACCTCCCCCACCTTTGGGACTGCAAGGATTTACTTCTTCCAGTGAAACAGAAGTTGGGGAGAAACAGCCTCAGTTGCAAAGGTAATACAGAATTTTCTTTGCCAGCAGTGAGAAAATCTGTGGTTATGAGTAGCATGGATCCCAAACAGCCCGTTTCTGCAGGCAGGATGGAGTATCACCCTGGGCATCAGCCTGTAACCAGGATCTGTAACTGTCATTATGTATTTTTCTGTTATTTGTCTGAGGGATCTTAACTCACAAGTAGCAGCGTGAGCTTGCCTTGCCTTTTACAAAGTTCACTTCTGTTTTGTGAAGGTGTGTAAAATATAAGAAACAACTTTGTGTCTCTTTCACAGTGAACTCCAGGTCTCTGAAGATACTCAAGTCCATAAACCCCCTTGTTCTGAGGGTAAGTATTTACATTTTTTACCATTAAGGAGAAGGCCTTGTTAAAGGGATTGTTCTTTTATATGAATAGCAAGATTGGAACAAACTAAACCCAAAAGTTTAGGTGGATTAGAAGAATGAAAATGAGAATGTTCTAGTGGTGCCTTTAACTGTATTTGACTTAACTGTATTTGGCAAATGGCTGAGCATCTGAGGTCACTCCTTGAAAGGACTTTCAAGCAGAAGAGCTTTTTTCTTTTAATAGCTGAAGAGCTTTCTTCACACTTGAACATATGCAGTCTCACTACTATCTGTAGAAGAGTTTAACATTAACATTAATCTTGATATTATCTTAAGTCCTCCTTTTACCTCAGAAGATTTAGTAGAGGAATAAAATCAGAAATTACACGTTCAGTTTTGTTGGGGAGGGTGTGTGCTGAAGAAGTTTTGGTTTTGACTCAACTTGACTACTGTTGACAGAGATTATCCAGCCTCCTGATGCATGCCCAGACACACGAAGGGAAAGGGGGCTTCTAGACTCTGAGGATGAACAAGAGCTGCAGAAGGATAAAGCCAACCTTGGGAAGAAAGGTACAAATTCTGAAGCACATTGTCAAAAGAGCAAGGTAGCTAACCCAACATGGTGGTGAAAGTGGGGTTCATTAACATGACAAAACCCAGCTTTTTTAAACAGGGCTATTTTAATGTCAGTTCTGTAACATCCTGTGGGACTAGTATTTTTAGGGCTGTGTATTAAATGTTTTCAGTAGCATTGGATACGTAGTTGTGGAAACCCTGTTGGTTTGGTCTAGTGTGAGGAGTCTCTGCCCATGGCAGGGGGTTGGAACTGGATAATCCTAAATTCCTTTCCAACCCAAACCATTCCATGATTCTATGATTTTATGATTTGTGATTTAATAGAGCCTCTTGGTTTTCCTTCACAGATGTAGGTCTCCTTCCCTCACAGGATCCTTCTACGTTTTTCACCGTATTTGATGAATCCTCTACTTTGGCAAATCAGAATATAAGGTAGAGTTACTCAAGATTTAGATTTCAAAGGGAGAAACCAAAGTATCAAACCACTTTGTGTGGCAGCTGAAGTACTGTACAGTTTCTTATGTGGATGTGGGGTGGCTTTTTTTGTTTATATTGTTTCATTTCATGACCCTGCTTGGGAAGTCCATGATGAGGAAATGCTCTCCTGTTGTTCCTTTTCAGTCCACAACTATTTAAGCTGCTATGTAAACTCATTCTAGAGAGCTGTATGTACTGTACATTACTGATAGTTCTGTAGTAAAAAGCAATAGATTGAAATTGTTGGTAGACTTGAACTCTTGAGAATCTCTGTTGAAGATCAGAAGCTGCTCTGATAAATATTTAATGGAATGTAACTTTATCTTAGTTGTCCTGCAGATCATGCACAGAAAAGTGCCCGGCGTCCTCTTGCTGTTCGTAAACCTTCAGGTTGTCTAACTGCAAATGAACACGTGTCACCAGAAGCCTCTGTAAGGAAACAGTTTCCTCCATAGCAGATTTCTTGTCACAGAGAAACCAACATAGAATGTTTTACTGTTGAACTGAGTGAGATTGGCTGGACTGACACGATGAGCCACAAGCAAGGACGTGCAACTTCTGTCTGGCACGGCAATACTTGAATTCATAGAATCATAGAATGAATCATAGAATGGTTTGAGTTGGAAAGGACCTTAAGATCATCTAGTTCCAACCCCCCTGCCATGAGCAGGGACACCTCACACTAAAACTGGGTGATGCTAAGATTATGCTGGAAGCTTTGTGGTTTTATTAGGCTTTAAGGTGGCCAAAACACAAATAATGTTGGTTCTACAGTCGGTCTGGATAACTACGTGGTTCTGCTTTACATGTTCTATGTGTCTCTGCCCAGCATTTTAGTAAATACTTTAATGGTTGGACTTGATGATCTTGAAGGTCTTTTCCAACCTAGTTGATTCTATGATTCTAATAATGAGCTTGTAACTGAACTGAAATACACTTCTGCAGTAGCAGATACTAAGTAGCCTTTAGCAGTTCTTAGCAGCTCTGCAGTGCTCTAGAGGGTAACAAAGCTACTCTTTCTAGTTGTGGAAGAAATGTGCAATTACAGTCAGGGTGTAATCAGTTTGAGTGTCAGGTTCATGTTGAAAGGTGGTGGGGTGGAAGAAAAGGGAGAGAAATGTTCAGCTTTTAAATTAGAAGAAAATTTGATGTAAAATCTACAGGCTTTTCACTGTCTTTTCCTGTTTTTCTCAGGATGAGCTGATTGGAATTGAACCTTTGGCTGAAGATGCAATTGTGACAGGCTCCTACAAGAACCAAACCATTTGTGCCAACCCAGAAGACACGTGTGACTTTGTTAGGGCTGCCCATCTGGCTTCAACACCCTTTCATGGGGTGGTAGCTCAGAGAATCCCAGATCCTGGTTTGTCCCAGAGTGTCCTGAAGGAAAACTGTCCGGAAGCTAAAAGCACACCCCTGAATCAAGAAACGCTGGTGTGTGAGGGAGTGTATAATGAAGCTCTGTGTGTAAATAAACTGAGGTAAGTAACAGCAAAGTATCTTAAGCCCCTTCTCCTGTCTTTGGTTGTGCTTTTACTATTCTGTTGTTGAGGAAACAATTTTCTGAAGAGATCAGGGTATGCTGAGGACAGTCATTTTTCTAGCTCACAGTCCATTTTGCCTCAAGCAGATTTAAGAGGCAATAACAAGCCTACTTGGCTTTCCAGCATTACTGCTGCAGGACTTAACTCCATGCTTTTCCTACCAAAGAAATTGCAAGGAAATTAATAAACACATTCTGTCTTTGGAACCAGAGATTAAAAGTAGGCTTATCAGTTCCTTTTCTGGTTGTATGCTTCTACAGTTATTTTAGTATATAAAATGCATCTGGTGATCATGGCTTAACTTCTACAGAGGAGAAAAGCTGGAGAGAAGGAAAAAACCTGTCAAACAACCTCCTGTTTCTTACTGTAAAGAAAAAAGCATCCATTGTGTGGGGTTTTCTCGGTTTAGAACAGTTTGATTTGCTAGCCTTGGTATGCACACACATAGACCATGCTGAAGGTGTTTGCTTACTTGGCAAGTTCCCTGATTATAATTAGAAAGAAAGAGCAGGAGTTATTTCCCACCCAACTCTCCACTGCTTTAAAAGCACTGTAGGTCTGAATTTTGGTAGTGGAGTAAGAAACAGTATTTCTTCTGTTGTAACAGTCATATTTAATGGCAGAGAAGATTAATCTGTAGGCTAAGCTTCTGAGTGTAAACAATCAGCTAAAATGAAGCTCTGACATAACTATTGTTTTTCCACTAGGATAGGAAAGGATTTCTTTGTGCTAAAAAGGAGTCATGGGGTGCACTGTATCCTTTCAGAATCATGAGGCTGATGTTGTCTGGACACTGTATCTTCTGCAAATCTGGTTAACTGATGCCTTCATTTACAGCCCAATCATGGAAGCAAGCCTGGAAGATACTCACTCCTCAGGTGGTTCTGTCTCCTCAGGATCGTCTCTTTCCTCTGTTACACAAACATCTACTATGAAATACCTGCATATCCCTCAGAAACTGGAGCTTGCCCAGAGCTTGCCTGCTGAAACAGCTGCTGATTCTGGAGGGATCAGTGAAAACACGACTGGTTAGTACTAAACTGAGTTGCACTTACAACAAAGAAGTTGTAACTGTCACTAAACTATGGTGCTTTTTCTGTTCTTAGTATATTCTGCTCTGCTTTTTGTCTATTTCCCTGTGTTTGACTTGTAACTGAACTTGTGTCCCTTGTCAGAGTAGTAGTGAGGTATACGGTGAGCAAAAGTTATATATATAAAAAAATATTAAATCCAATAGATGTAAATGTTAAGATGATGAAGTAGTTACTTAAGGTGTTAAAGTTGGGGGGTGTAGGAGTAATGAGGTCAAATTCTGAAGTGAAAAATTTTGACTGGAGAAGAGAAGGCTCGGGGGGGGCCTAATCGCTCTCTACAACTGCCTGACAGGAGGTTGTAGGTTGGTCTCTTTGCCCAAGGAACAAGGGATGGCACAAGAGGAAATGACCTCAAGCTGCACCAGGGGAGGTTTAGATGGAGATGAGGAACTATTTCTTCC